CTGCAGGAGTCAGGGTGAGATGCAGGACTCGTTTGTCCAAGATGCTTGAGTTGGGCCTGGGTTACACAGGCCAGGTCCTGCACCCTCACAGGAGCAGTAGCCCTGTGGATCCAACTTGGCTGCTCAGCAGGGTTGTCTGCATGATGATGACTGCATGGCAGAGCTAGGTTCATGTTCTAGCACCACTTCCCATAAACACCCTTAAGCATGCAAGGGTGCTTCCCATGAAGGCCCTCAAGTTGCCCCATGCAAGTGTGGGATCCCACATATTCAGGCATGTCCCCGTCCAGTGTGCACTGAATTTATTCCCCCTTCTTAAGGGCTGGTGGAAGTCATTTCTGTTTTTTTGGTAGGAGCAAGTTTCAATGGGGAAACAGAATCATAGAATGGTTAGGGTTGGAAAGGACCTTAAGATCATCTACTTCCAACCCCCCTGCCATGGGCAGGGACACCTCACACTAAGGTTCCCAAGTTCAGCTCAGGAAGGTGCCTCTCTCCTGCAGGGCCAGCAAGGATGAGAGCACACCCCGACTCTGGAAAACACATGTCAGACCCCAAGCAAGCAGCAAACAGATCAGTCCTACAGAGCTACTCATTGAGCATCCTAACCGTTTACACAACTACCCCATCTCAGTAGCCCTGTTACTGATGGAGAGCTAGCGAGAGGTGTTTGAGCCATGATGCTCAGCGCACAGCATTTTGGTGCCATCAGTAAATGGCATTGTGAGGAAGTTCAGAGCAGGGACTCAATGAGAGAGGTCCAGCAGGTGGTAGCCTCTGCCTGTCTCTGCTGCCAGCCCCGGGCACTGTTCTGCAGGACACAGGGCTCAGCCCATGTCTGCTCCACCGCCGGGCCTGCAGAGGAAATGGCACATGATCTGGGCATTAAGCAAAGCATTCTGTGTTTATGAAACAGCTCCTAAGAGGTTTAGGAAGGGATGAGCGGTGTTTACACACAAGCTGGATGGACTCTAATGCAGTGCATGCTCTGTTGTGTCAACTCCCACACCTGCATAAGATGGTTTAAAAAGTCCCCACAAAATGAAGGAGCCAAACAACTGAGTCCAATCAGCCCTGTCAGGGTGCTCTCACACAGAGACACAGTGAATGTTTTTCCTAATGGAGCTGCAAGATGCTACGGAAAACCTCTCTTAAACCTCTCTTAAGAGGCTCTGTTCGTGTTTGAAGTTAAGGCTGGCCAAAAACAAGGAAAGGGAGCTGCAGGGCACTTTTGTTGGAGCAGGCTGGGTGCAAACTCTTAGGGCTGATTGAGCACTCCCTAGGAAGAGGGAAGACCCTGGAGGCAGTCCAAGCCCTGCAGCACTGCAGCCCACACAGCACAGGAATGGGAGAGCAGCAGCACTGCTACCACCACCTCAATCCCCCTGAGGCAAGAAGGAGATTTGGCCGAAGAAAAATGAAGTTAAAGAACATTTCCTTGTGCTTTCCCAACACCAGAATGACCAAATGGACTTTTCACTGCGTGTTTCAGTCTGCTGCGCCAGAGTGTTTCTGGATCCCGTTTTATAGCAACACGGGTTCTCCTCTCTCTTGTATCACTTGCAGCAGGTCCTGCCTGGACCGTGTTTGCTCATAGAGTGACACCAGGCTGCAGTCCATAAAAGGTTATTGACCTGGGAAGAGAGGGTTTCTAGAAGTTAAGGGCTGGGCAATTTCTTGGAAACGGCCTTATCAGCAGGGCTGCAAGCAGGAGCTCTAACAACCCTTCCTGACGCGCACGTCTCTGGTCCCTATTCCTGCAGCTCGGCATTCCGCTCTGCACACACATGCTTATTTAGCAGTTTGTTGTTTCAGAGAATCACAGAATGGTTTGGGTTGAAGGGACCTTAGAGACTAACCCAGATTACCCTGTCATGGGCCGGGGCCCCTTCCACTAGAGCAGCTTGCTCCAAGCCCCTGTGTCCAACCTGGCCTTGAACACTGCCAGGGATGGGGCAGCCACAGCTTCTCTGGGCACCCTGTGCCAGCGCCTCAGCACCCTCACAGGGAAGAGCTTCTGCCTAAGATCTTATCTAAATCTCCTGGCAGGTTAAAGCCATTCCCTTGTCCTGTCACTGCAGGCCCTTGCAAAAAGTCACTCTCCAGATTTCTTGTTGGCTCCTTTAGGCACTGGAGCTGCTCTAAGGTCTCCCCAGAACCTTCTCCAGACTGAACCAGCCCAGCTCTCTCAGCCTGTCTCTAGAGCAGAGCTGCTCCCACCCTCAGAGCATCTTCATGGTCTTCCTCTGGAGCTGCTCAAGCAAGTCCAAGTCCCTGTTATGTTTAGGGTCCCAGAGCTCAACACACGACTTGTGCAGTTCTACAAGAGTGCAATAAAGGGCAGGATCACCTCCTTCATCCTGCTGGTCACACTCGTTTTGATGCAGCCCAGGACTCGGTTGGTTTCTGGACTGCAAGTGCACACTGATGTGTCATATTGAGCTTCTTGTCAACCAACACCCCCAAGTTCTTCTCCTCAGGGCTGCTTTCAATCCAGTCTTTGCCCAGCCTGTATTTGCACTTGGGATTGCCCTGACCCAAGTGCAGGACCTTGGTTGAACTTCATAAGGTTGGCATCAGCCCACCTCACAAGCATGTCAAGGTCCCTCTGGATGGCATTCCTTCCCTCCAGGGTATCAACCGAACCACACAGCTTGGTGTCATCAGCAAACTTGCTGAGGGTGCACTCAATCCCACTGTCCATGTCAGCGACAAAGACCGGTCCCAACACCGATCCCTGAGGCACACCGCTCGTTACTGGTCTCCAGCTGGAAACCGAGTAAACCCTAGAGGGGTCTGCAGTCCTCAGGCCTTCCTGTCAGAGCAGACCTGGCAGCCCAGAGCTGTCACCCCTTGTCCTCCCCAGCTCCTCCACTAGTGCCTTGTCCCAGCCCAGGTTTTGGGGTGATGCCACTCACTGCTGCGGTCAGGCAGTCTCTATCCTACCCACAACGGTGGGGCGGGGGAGAGCTGTAGAGAGCATGGTCTTTGCCCCTGGGATCCAGCCCTTGTCCCCAGGGGCATGGTGCAGATCTGAGTGAGGATGGCAGGAGCCAGCCAGCAAATCCCTTGGGTGCTGACCACTCACCTCCTCACCCGCTGCCCCCACTGGGCAGGCTGCCCAGCAGAGCTAGCATCTGCCTTGGAAACTGATGTCCACAGAGCCACACAGCACCAGTACCTTCACCTCCAGAATCGCTGCTCTGATAATCCTGTTTGCTCAGTCTTAGTGGCTGAAGAGAAGCATATCCAAGAAAAACAGCAGGATTATCCTCCGGCACCTGCTCCCAGTGAAAGGATTATCATAGCTCGCCACAGCAGGTGACATCCTCTAGGTATCACCACGAAAGCAGCCTGACCAACACAGCACCCCATCAGAAGACCTCTCTCCCCTTCTGTATCTGCATGCCCTTTTCCCAGGTATTTTCAGGAAGCAAGAAGCTCCTTGCAGATGGAGGCCAGTCTGTGTGGATACAAGTGTCAGCATTTGCATGTCTCCATCACACTGATGTGCTCTCCAAGTAGCATCATCTTTTGTTTGACTTCCTAACAGGGCGGTGGTATGAGAAGTATGGGCTGTAAGCTGTGTGGCTCAGACGATAGGCAGCAGCTTTAAAGCACTTTAAACCAAGTTGCTTTTCCTTGTACTTCTGTTTTTCCAGCACAGGATCTGACCCACTCACCTCACAACATGTAAGGGTTCTGTTGTGCTGCATTTGCATCCACAATACAATGGTAGCTGATGCAAGAGCTATTTTAATGCAGAATTAAAATGTTTGATTGCAGTAAGAGAGACCCTTCTCAGAGGTGTTTCCATGGGAAAGCAGGAAAACCAGAGAAGGTCCTGAGAAATTCTGGAGGGACTCAGCTTATCAATGGATACAGGAACAGGAATGGAACAGGAATGCAACCTCCTCTGGATGGAGGACTTCTGTTTAACCTCACCTTCCAGACATTAAGTCTGTCCCACTGTGCTCTCCTGGCTTTATTTCGGGATCACCTGGAATGTCAAGGTTAGCTCAATTGTCATGAAGTTGCCAATGGGCTTTGCAGCAGCATCCCGAGTGCTGGTTTTGCCACTGGTCTTGAAGCCTGAAAAGGAGCCTTCAGAAGAGAGGAAGGATGCTCTAGACAGGAGGAGGTGGCCACCGTCTTCACACCTGGAGGAATAACTTCAGTGGGGGAGCCTGAGGTAAAACAAGTCCCACGTGCCACTGGAGCCAGGGCACAGGACACCACTGCACAAACATATGATACCCTGCAGCTATGCTAATGTGCTGCTGTCACCACTGCAGCGGTGTCACACAGGCCTGAGAGCTCTGCTTGTAACAAAGCACCTTTGTGCCACCACCAGATCAAGTGTTCTGAGACCCTTCAATGCAGCGTATCTCTCAGTGATGGTGAGTTTTAGCTCCCCATGGAGCTGCGAGGAAGGCACAATATCCCATGATGGTGCAGAGAGGTGCTGCAACTGCCCTGAGGCCTTCATGACATGAGCTAACACCTCTCTCCATCACTCTTCCCAAAAGCATCCTCCCATCCCTCAAGCAGAGGCCTCAGTGAACGAATTACTGCAGTCACAGATGGTTTTTTCTATAATGGAATGTAACATTAAACTAAACACTGGAACATGGAGACAAACAGAGCAAAAAAAAAAAACAACCAGGGAATAATCCTTAGCTCATACTGATTTTTGCAAAACATTGTTGAAATTAGGTTTTATTGGAACAAAAATGTATTTATCATATCTGTCAACACTGGAAAATGGTGTTTAAATTAAAACTTTATTGTAAACCCTGAAGATGACCCAGAAGTGATATGACATTTATAAATAGCTTATCATACACTACAGTATAAAAAGTACAGTTATCCTCTTGCTGTTGAGTCAAACTCATTGTTATATATGAGATGGGAATGAGTTTTACCCTTCTGATTATCAAATCAGAGAAGAAAATTGAAACCACAAGGAGGAGAGCAACAACAGCCCATGGGTCGGACCATAGGAAAACAGTCCCCATTGGAAAAAGCCACCCTGATGCCAAGGTTTGTGTAGATCTAGGCTGAGACCAGGCAGTACCAAGCAGCAGAGACCACTGATCCCCGCCGTTGTGCACAGGATTTCAGCCTCTGACCTGCCTAAAAGCTGTTCTCCAGCCCCAAACATCCAGGCCCCTGTTTTAACTCGGTTACACTGTGGATGGGCGGCTCTTTCCACGCCTTCACCCTGTTGTTTTTGGCCATGGCTCTGACAGGACAGCGGGACTGCAGACGACTTCTTGCGCCAGCTCAGCTTCAAATCAAGAAATGTCCTGTGGCCCCGATACTGAGTACTGCAAAGGCTCTTCTGACAAGGCTGAATAGCCCATTGTATGAATTGGGCATAAGACTAACTACACAGATGTTGCACCTGGACAGGAACCTGCACAGGACTGAGGATGCTGGCTTGCCATGCTCCTAGGGCTTCTCAGTGGCTCAGGTCCTGTGCTCAGCTACCACCTGGGTTTTTAGGGATGATATCTGAGTTTCTAGCAGCCTGACCGAGCAATGAGGATCCTCCAGTAGAGGGGATCAGTGGCTGTCAGGCAGTGAGGGCTGACATCCCCTCCTCCCGTACCCAACAGCTGGGATTTAGGGGACCTCTTACAAAACCTCCTTTTTACCAGAGAGCAGATCGGAAATATTTCAGTCTTTGAACCTCAGACAGAGGAGACTGCATTCCTTTATCTGGGCTTCATTAATATCCCATAAAACCAGACAAATGTTCTGCTTGTTGGGGCCAAGCAGAGTCAGTGTGCATAGCCCAGATGGCTGCATATGTGGGAGATGGAGATGACGGGCTGCAATACAGCAGCACAAATGCAGCCCATCGGGATGCTGGCTGGCTGCAGACCATGCAGCAGCCCAGGCCTGCATGCAATACAAAGGCCATCACTGAAGGGGCAGGGAGCCAAGGAGGAGACTATGGATAATGCCGTGTAGCTGCCTGGACTGGGGATGGATATGGGAATCTGGAGGGCAGAGCTAAGCCCCAGCTGGCGGGAGGCTCCGAGCAGCAGCAGCCGGGAGGTGAATGGTGACATGGGGAGATAAGGCTCTTGATGGATGGACCTCAGAAGGTTTGAAGGTTTTTGTTCTGTTTGGATAAGCAGTCAAATATTCACACAGATAAGCTTCAGAAATGCATCTGATCTGAAGCCCTTTGTATCTTAAAAAGAAAGGCTGGAAATAGAACAAGAGAATTCCTCTGAGGCTTCTGTGGCTCCTGGGTTTTCCTTCCACAGCACCAGGCTGTCCAGACCTACCCATGCAAGCAAAGCAACAGTCAGGACAGCTCTAACAGCCAGACCCACCCTGATCCTCAGGCATTCAACTGTGCTTGGGTACCAACATGACAGCCTGGGGGAGAGGGGAGATGGTCCTTTGCTTGGTCACTCTGCACTTTGTCATCTTGGTGCACATAGCTGCTATGGGTGGTTTAAAACATAGTTAAGGAAACGCCCTTGCTAACATTTTTGTGTATCTTAACATATCCGTTGGCACAGAGTTTAGATAACATTGCCTGGTGCCTCTTCACCAGCAATGTCCACATTGAGCAGTGCCTTGCGTGCAAAGATCTGCTGATGGCAAGACCAGGCAGCAGCAGGGATGATCTTGGCAGGCTCCTGCCCTCCTCATGCACCATGCTCAGACCTAGGTGAGGGCTGCAGGCAGCACCGAAGAGGGCCAGCAATTACCCTGCGACTTTAAATTGTAGTGCTTGAGTGAAGTGCTTTTGGAGAGTGCATCATTTCCTTGGAAATGAATTCCAGAGTCGTACTTTACTCCAGCGGGCTTCCTTGTACCACAAGTTGTTTAAACAGTTTCATGTTATGCATTTCCCATTTGGACAAAAACAAACCAGAAAGCACCAAGGCTGGTAGGAAAACGGAAATCCTGCTCCAACCATCCGAGTGGGCAAAGAGCAGCTCCTGGCTCTGAAAGGTCTGGAGGACCCAGTTTCTAGCTCTGCAGAAAGTGCTCAGGTGACCGAAACACCTTTCAGGTCCCCCTTTGAACAATACAGCCCTGGATACACAGGGTTTCTGCCAGAGCATCCCCCTGCTTTGGCATCAGGACCCAGGTCCAAACCGTGAGGGCAGAGGAGCACAGAGCTTTCAGCAAGCCAAGGGAATCCACCCCATTGAGGGTCAGCTCCTTACCTCCCCTTCCTTGTGTGCCTCCCCAGGCTTTCCCACTCACTATTTATATCTTTGCCTTATTGAGTCCCCCCAACCACCCCTTATCCTTAACCTCTTCCTTGCCAAGTGGGGTTTGGAGTTTACATGAAAGTTGTTTATGCTCTATAGCTTTGTAATAGTTTCCTCTACACCACCTCCCTTCCTTCCCCAATAAAAAGCCCTACTGCATGCTCGGAAAAGCCTGTAAACAAAGGAGCGGTTTGGAGACCCAACCAAGTTTTGGTGAACCCAGGCGGGAAATAATGTCTGTCTTGAAGGATGTTGAAGTCTGAGCTCATAATAGTAGGAAGCTAGTGTCCACCCTAAGCAAGGAATTGCCTACTTGCAGCTACCTAGCACAAAATACAGATGTCCATGCAGAAGGCCACAAGTCATTTGATGTAGGGGGTCAACCCCATGTGCTTTCCTCCAGTCAGGATGAGGCTGATGGTAGCAAACCGATGTGTTTTATCAGCTCCAAGTACTTGAGGTTGTAATAAGCGAGCAGGGAAAGGAGAGCACAAGAAAGACAGCACTGTTTTGAACTCACCTAGATTGATGAACAGAAGCAGAAGACAATGAAAATCCATTAGCCTGACTGTTCCCTGCAGAGGAAAAACAGGCACACAAAATCCAATTCATTACTCTCTTTCTTATTTAATGCTAAGTAAGTCATTGAACTTTACTACTTGATCTATCCATTTTCTTCAGGAGTAGGGCTGCAGGAAATCCTTTTCTTCCCAAAAGGGGGTTTCAAGTTTCTCACTGATATCATATCAGAAATACTTGTAGCGTATGAGTAAAAAAACAGCAGCATTTCAAAGGGATCTTGAGCCATGCAGATAATGACAATTTTTCTCTTCTGAAGCACAGAACCAAACAGTGGAGGTCCCTGGGAGCTCGCAGCACCATTGTTCTTCTTCCAGGCCATTATCTGGAGACAGGCCCTGTGACAGACTCCCATGAGGCCACCGAAGGGCTTATCTGCTCAGAGCGCTAATGGCATGCATTTGACAACACCAACCGTTTAATATATGAGGTGTCTCATAGTGTAAAGGCAAGGAAATCCATACCATGGAACAGCCCAAGCACACCCGGTGCAATTTAAATGTATTTGATTAAAGCCCAGCTTGCTCTACACCACCACTTTATTAGTTATGGCTACACAGAGACGTTCCACCTTCCTAAAAGGCAGTTTAGCAGATTTGGTACAGCAATGGCAGCGTTATGTAATGAGAAATGTACTAATGGAAACTATCCAGCACTGAAATCATTCCAGCTCTTTTATCACAACATTCCTTACTCCCACATGAGTGAAGTGTGCAGGAATAAAAGCAGTTAAACACCCTCCACCAGAAGACACTCATGATGGGGATTACTCACAAGTCACTAGCAGCTCCACGGTGCCCATCAGTGTTTGGGTCCACACAGGGACTTTGGGCAAACAGAGCTGCTTTTCCTGGGAAATTACTTTTCCACTGCCTGTGGCTCATTGCCATCCCACTCTCTTGTAGTCGGGGACAGCTTAGTGCTGTCACCCAGTGCCTGAGTTGCTCTTCCAGCATCCCTGGTCTCAATCTCTGCAAAAAGTTGAGGAGTCTGTCCCATGCTCTTCACTGTTGTTTATCTATACAGCAGATAATCAGATTTAAATCATGCTTTTCTTCTGCTGCACAAATATTTGCACAAAACTATATTTATTTTCATTTTTCACATGCAATGAGAAGCTTAATGACTTAGTCATAAAACCTCTGAATACCGTATTCAGAGTGGCCCCTGAGGGGAGGGAAGGTTTGGGTGGTGAGTCCTGCTTTTCCAGTGCATGCCAGAGGGTGCTGCTCTGGGTCTCAGCTTCTGCGGCATCACCGCTGGACATGAGGTTTGTGATCACAGCAATGGGTCCAAATCAGGACCCCTACGAAATCATACGATCTCAGCCTCATCACTCTGCATGTTCCCATGCCCCTCATGCCATTACCCGTGTTCATGCAATCTGTATGGATCACCTGAAATATACCTCTTCTGAAAGGGCTGGTTTTCAGTCACAGGAGCACCTCTCCACGCGGTTGCACAGGCAGCATAGCCAGTCAGGCAGTGGGACATGCAACAGGGCTTGGATGGGGAGGGAGGGTGTGAGCATCAGCCCTGGCTTGGATGGGCTGGTGCTGAAAACCACAGGCATACATTCACTCTATTGCCAGCTAGCTGGTAACCACCTGGCAGCGAAACAGGAACAAAACGTCTCCCATGGATGCTCTCAAGGTGGTTCAGAGCACTCTTACAATCTCTGTTGTTACTGGAAATTACTGCAGCAGCAGCTGCCTCGCACTGAATAGTACATAAAAGCTCCAAAAAGCCCCATTTGTGAGCAGATTGAATGCTCCTGTGTCAGATTTCAGGCACAGCCTGGGTGTGTTGTGGCTGTCCTAGCCCGGTGATGGGAACCTGCCAGGGTACCAGTGATGCTTCAGTCGTGTGAGCAACAGGTCTCCTCCATTGCCCCTCCTTTCTTCCCTTGCCTCTGCTGCTGTATCACAGTGAGGGCAGCTGCCTGCCAGGGATCACATACGACAGCAGCTTCGTGGCGTGAGCGAGCTAATTGAGATTTGATTTGACAGCTCCCAAGCGGGTATTCAGGGGAAGAACAGACAAACAAAACCCCCCTGCTGAAGGCGGGTTCCACAAGCAGTTGAGTATTAAACAATGGGAGAGTTGTGGGACGTCTCCCCATTTACCTGCTCCAGTTCAAGAGGAAGTGCTCCTCCCTCCCCAGCACAATGGTGGGTTGGCAAGCCCCATAGGCTGGCACACACCTTTGTGTCCAGGCATCCCTCCGACACCTCTGATGCTTGATGCTGGGGCAGGCGAGAGGGGGACATGCTATATGCCAAATAGGAAGAAAGGGAGGATGGACACTGTCAGTTGTCCCTGCGGATCCTGGGGTGGGCAGCACTTATCCACTATTGTGGCTTGCACAGGGTGCCAGCAGCATTTGTAACTCTCGCTTGGATCAGTCTGTACAAGGAAGCTTTAACCCTGAATGTTGTTCTCCCTTCTCTGCTAGGAAATCCTGCCCGGGATTGTTTCAATTCCTTCTTCTTAAAATTTGGCCACAGAGCACTGTTTCAAGTTTACCACCTGGCAAATCGTTTGTGCAGCTATTGTGCTGTCCCTGTCATATTGCCTTGCAGTGACAGGGCATTCTGCAGTCCCCACTTGCACAGTGACTTGTTGGTAGGTGAAATATTTATACACCTAGCAGCTGCTGGGATTTCGAGCTCTCCAGTGGTTCTGATTGCCTCTCTGGTGTATACACTTCCATCTGCCTTTCAAAGCATTGTGCCAATGAGCTTAAGACTAATGATCAAAATATTTTTGGTAGGAAATAGTCTAAATATCAAGGCTTTGAGAGAGACACTGCCGAGAGATGCGCAACAGTGGCTAATGGCTGCAGCACCAAACTAGTGGAAAATCCTCATTTAATCTCACAAAGGACAACAGGATTCTGTGCATTACACAGGATCAGAAGGGAAAGGCACACCGTTACATCTGAGATGCTCTGCTAACCATGGCAATGGCAAAAGCCTGGGCAAGCGTCTGTTTTCTCCTTCAGGCTGTGAACCTGGAGGTCAAGACTCATTTCCTACTTTTGCACTTCAGTGCAACTGGTGCTAATAACTCCAAGCATCACCCCTGGAAGGAACAGGTACAACAAAACCCAGACAAAACCCACATCTGGATACCACATCTGGATGCAGACTGCTCCCAGGGCACAGCCAAAAACCTCATGCTGCTGGGTGCTAAGGCCAGACAAGCAAACACCAGGAGCCAAGCGATGGGAAGACTTAAACAGCGTGAGAAGCAAACATGCGTAGCAAGCTGCCAGTTTTGGTGAACCAGGAAGCTGATCACCAGTTTACATAACAAACCCGAGCACCCTTCCACTTCCAGCCCCACTGCCTGCAGTGTTTGCAGGATGGAGGATGACTCAGGGCAGTGGCATGGCTGGCAGCCTGCACCAGCATGCCCGGCACAGCGTGGCGCACCCTGCACCATGCAGCACCCACCCTGCGTGCCACAGGCACCTCCTGCTTGGCACCACGCGAGAGGGTTAGGGTTAAGGTCCAACAAAGCTCATCATAAACTGGAGTCCCTTGAATGGGAGGGGGAGATGCTAAGGGGGATGCTTGCGTCCCTGGATGGCCAGGGAGTGGCACAGCTTTACACTGGTTAAGAAGCCGCTCAGGTGTGCTTTAGATTACTGTAAGCCAAAAAAGAAGAGAGATTTAGGGGGCATGTTTCAGCTTCCACTACTATGGTGGCACGGTCCTGTATGGAAGGTGTCTGTCTTCTCACACTTCTTAACCTGTGTTTATAGTGCAGCTGCCTGCTGCATCCCCATCCAAACCAATTACACTTTACCAGCAAAAGGCAACACCTACAATATGGCCAAAAATGCCCCAGTTTTCTGCTCTTTGCAGTGACAATAGTGGATTTGCTTGGCAGCATCACCTTTTTTACCCTTTCCCCATCTCGGTCACCTCTTCAAGCAGAGTTTGACAGCCTGAAGTTACTGCGCTGGACAAATAGATCACCTGCTGTTACCACGGCTGCTCCTCACAGATGGGCAGGCCTATAAACACCTCAATACAAAGCATATCAGTTTCTTCTGTGAGATGATCATTACAAACACTGTTGATCTTACTCTATATGTGATTGTTTCTATAAAGAGAATGACTCCTTGCTTCCTCCTGGGGCGTTGGGGAGTTTGGCAGCCTCTGAAAGCAAGTCAGTGGTGCATAGGGTAATGCTCCTCACGGGGAGTGTGCTTAGTGCAGGACATCACATTAGTGCTTTTGACACGATCAAACAGAAAGCTCCAGCTGAACAATGAGTTTTTAGGATGAAAAGTGAAATGTGAAGAAGGTGTGTACATCTCTGTGAATTTGCTTCATTTCACTCGTTGATGTGGCGGGAACAGGACTATTTTTAGGTATAATCCTTCAAACGGAACATGACTTCTCCTTTCTGATTAGTACAAAGCTGGCTGCTAGTCAAAGGATAATTATTTCCCAACACATCACCTAACACACACCAGCAAACAAAACACTCATTATTTGAGCTATCCAACATTAACTGTTGTTTAGCAGTTAACATTTTCTTGACAGCTTCGAATAGGGCTAATTGCTCCAGCTTCATTAGCAGAGGTCATTTACTGCTGGTAACAATACTTTCCTGGAGATAGCCTCTCCTATAAGATTAGATTATGAGGTCAAATTCTGCTCCCAGTGGCAATGATGCCTGGCCGCATTTGGCCTCAAGAAAGTCTGCTCTTCAGTTCATAGCTGCACGATTTCCAGCCCTGCAGCTGATATATTACATAAAGGAAGTAAGTGCACTCCACCGGACGGGCAATTACAATGAATTAGGAAAGTGTGCAGCACAAGGAAGGCTTGCAAAATAGCCACTTGAAAGTTATTAATAAAACCTCGACTTTCAGATAGGGTTTATGGAAAAGAAGCTGATAAAGAAGCAGTCCTTATACTTGAAAACATGTGCATACCCAAAAGGGAAAGCAGTGTTTGCAGAAGAACTGGAGCGTGCTGTATCGCAAACACCCAGCTGATGCTGTCAAATGCCGTGTGCCACACACAGTTCACATCACAGTTTTAAGCCGTTACATTTTGCACCCAGTTTCATTTGTTCATCAGTTGACACTGAGGGTGGTAGTCTCCAAGTGCAGTGAATGTGCAGGGGTGCATTTGTGCAACTCACCACCACTGGGGAGGTCCGTCTGCAGGCACTTCCATAGCCCGCTGTGTGCCTGAAACATCCTTAGCATCCCTGAACACATGGAAAACTGAAGTCAGGCTTCCCACCCGGTATATTCCCGTTTAAGCACGTGGAGAGATGCAGCCTGCTTTTCAGAAGTGCTGAGTAAACACTGCTTGGAGTGCAGCCGGCGCCTTTGAGGATCGGGCGTCTCGCATGTGGAAGTCTCAGGCACCTTAGCCAAATAATTCCGGTCCTGTCAGACGCAGAACATTATATCCGAGTGGATTTCTGTTTTACCTGTGTCTCCCTTTCCTGCAGGCCAGTGGCTCTTTGCTGTTACTTTCCTGGCCACGTACGTGCGCGGCCGCATGCCTACCACCTATACTTTCTGACTTGCAGCTCCAATTGCTAATCCATGTCTGGTTTTCGTCAGGGAAAAAAATCCATCCTGAGCGTTTGACTCACTGCCTCCAGAGCGCTTCAGCTGCCTCATAACACTTCTCAGAGTATCCTTCTTCTCCATGAAGAACAGCCTGTTCTGAGCAGGATCCATGGCAGAATCCTCGCCAGCAGCCTCCCCTTCCTCGCACACGTGTGTCCCACATGTCCTCCTCTGCCCACACCGTTCATGCACCACTGTCTTTCTTACACCGTGCAAGACAGACAGACATCCACTACCCGTGCTGCCATGTGGATTGCCTTGTGACAGCCTCCAGACTCTTCAGCACCTCCTCGACTGGCCACAACTGAATGGCACAGACCTGATCGCTTTGCTCCCACAGCTGGTCCTGCTGAGGCCAATGGGCAAACCTCACTTTGACTTTCTCAATGACATCAGAAGCAGCATGACCCTGCACAGAGAAACTGAGCAAGTTCTGGACACAGATTTCCCACCTAAGTCGGACCCTGTTGACTTTTATCACTTTTTAAAGTCTAAAGACACAAGCATTCAGATGATGGTCCAGTGTGATGTGTCCCTGCCCGCAGCAGGGGGGCTGGAACTAGATGGTCTTTAAGGTCTCTACAAAAACAAACAGTTCTATGATTCTATGAACTGATTTATGAGATGCAGAGGCATGTCTGTTAGACTGTCCCCCTCCATGCAGCAGGCACTGTGCTTCCCCAGGATCCAGCACCCTGCTGAGGATGAGGGCTCAGCAGCCACTTCAGTTCCCAGCTGGGTGCTGGGGCTGAATCCTACCCTTCTCTATCCAGCATGCAGGGACCCAGTCCTACCCTCGCTCACTGTGATCCCCAAAATGCAGGAGGAAGGCAGCACTGCCTCCCCGTCCCATCCCACCCTGACATGCACAGCCAAAATCTCACTGCAGTTGCTGGCATCAGACATCGCCATCCCAGCACCTTTTTTGGTCCTGTTGCTTTGGCTGGAATTACAGACAAAAAGAGATCTAAAAGACCCCAAACATTTGGTGCAGAGTCAATTTCACTGAGCACCTGATCTGACATCACCTCAGCATTTTAAGGAGCCCATTTCACTATTACCAAGGGTAGACACTATTAACTGCAGCTCACATCAAACCTCAATAACATCAATGGAAAAGTATTATTTACTTCCCCGGTCCCTTTATTTTGTTCTTGCATAAAAAGTGTAACTTAGCTTTTTTTTTCCCCATCAAAATGAATCATTAGAAATTGCAAAGCACAAATTCCTTATTTTTTAAAACAAAGAAAAGAACAGCCAGTTTCCAAAATAAACTGTTGGCCACCAACCTAAAGAACTTGCTTCGGGAAGTGTTCTTCCTCAAAGCTGACTTCTAATTTAACTACACTTCAGAGTTTAATAAAAGCTAAAAAAGGCTTCACTTCCATTCTGCACTGTCTTTTTGCTGCTCTATCAGCCATGTATTCAGTGCAGTAATGAAAAACTTTATGAAACGACAAGGATAGAGAGTACCTTCATAAAGCAATAAGGGAAGACAATCTTTCGGACCAGAGATGCAAATCTGCATCTTTTCTATTCACAGCAGCTCCTTACTTGGATCAATTCACAGTGTAACACTCAGTTATCATAACCTGGCCCCCAAAGAATATGCGGCTGTTGTCAGCACACGGAAGCCACACTGCACATAACCATCAGCTTTATGATCTACAGACTCGGCAGCTTTATTTCACCCAGTGACACAGAAGAGGTTTCAGCGGTGTTTAAGTCTGTCCCAGAGTCCGATCCTGCTCCAGTTATTCCCCAGCCATTCCCTCAGAGGTTTAACTCCTTCTTTACAGTAAGAGGGAACCAAAGTCTGGACTCCCGCGACCGGCTCCCTGGCTGCCATCTCCCCTTTACATGAGCCTCCTCCAGCTGCTTTTCAGGCAGGGATCTCCCCCAACTTCCACGCTCAGCACCGGGACCCGCCGGGCACACAGCACCCACCTCACTCAGGCAGGATCAAGCCCACTGTCGGCACGAGGTGGACTTACTTGTGGGGTGGCGTGTACCGCATACGGAGGTTTCTTTCTACTCGAGACCATTTTTAGCTTTCAGATTACACATCCTCTGTAATCTTAAATATTCTGGTCTCCTGACTCCCAGCCACGTACTCCTAACAGGGGAAAGAAAACAGAAAAGAATATACTCCAGAAAGGAATCGTCACAGAAAATGAGAGCATTCATTATCAGAGTGGAAACACCTTGTCTTTAGCCATTAATTGTAAGGGAAGTCAGCAGACCTCGCTGCAACAGGAACACAACCTTATTGGGTTTCAAACACGTTTTTTACAACCCTGTGTCAGGAAAAGCCATTAGATAGAGTTGCATTGGTAATCAGAGCCATCTTTGGAGAAAAACAAATGCTGTTCTTCCCATTATAGGTAGGTATTGTTTCAAAACCTATAGAGACACGCTTGCTTGTGATGCAATGGTATTTATTGCACATAGACCAATTACTTACACAGTAGTAAATTGCACCAGAGTATAAATACGTTATAAAACACACACACAGAGGAAAATGGAAATGACACACAAGAGCTAAAACAACAGCAGATTCACGTGGGCATTTGGAAATCAAAATAATAAAGTCTCTTAACAGATTTTAATTTATAATAGGGATATATTTACAGTACCTTCGTAAAATAATATAAAGAACACCACTCTCTCAAAAAAACTATAACAGATCAGACGCAACCAGAAATCGGGGTCAGGGGTGGTGTTATTCAAACCTCCTTTTCACCTTTAAATCACGTCCGTGGGCATGTGTGCAAGTAACATCTCCAAATAACTTTACAACTCTTAACGCTGTGCAAAACCCGGCTTTGTTGCCATTTTTTAGGAAATGTGCAGTATTTTGTTGTTGTTGTTGCCAGGTTTCCCCCCCCCCCCCCCCGTTCATCTGTAATTACAGTGAACAAGCTGCAGAAGGCTCCCCCCCCCCCTTCATAAAATACTCTTAGTGGTATGTAAATATGCTGTTTAATATAAACATGGTCCGTTTATTCCCCTGTACAATATGCACAGTTTGAGGTAGAAGTTCCTCAGCCTGACTGCTATTGTCTGGCCGAAGGAGATAAGCACAGTAACTCACTGCTTGCTGATGCAGGGGGGGAAAGCACAAGAGTGTGGGTTGGGTTTTTAACCCCCCTTTCAAAGTATACCTGTGCTCCTTGCTACTCATTATTTCCTTCCATCTGTGGATGGAACACCAACTCCGAGCTTAAAACTCATCTTGCCCGCGGGGCCGTACTCTCTGCCTGGGCACCTGCAGCACGGACCCTGTGGCTCCCAAAACCCCACGGGGAATGACCCCTGGGGAGTGCAACATCCCTGGGCAAGGCAGGGGCTGGCGGGGACCCCGGCTGCACCCCAACCCAGCAGAGCCAAAGCCCAGCACCCCCTTACTCAGGTTCAACCACCAGCCCGGTCCCGGGACAAATCGCCCGAGCAAAGGGCGCTGCTGCCACAGCCGCTTCCGAAAGTGCGTCTCCTAACTAGAAGCTGCCCGTCTTTGGGGCTGTTTATTGCTCTCCGTCAGTGGGTTTCCTATTTGCTGTAGTTTGGATGAGGTATGTGGTGCACCAGTTCACCTGCTTTTATTTCTAAGTAAACACCCTCTTTCTTCCTGCTCAGACGGGGATCAGCTTTGCTCGGCATTAGCCTTACCACCAGGCAGCTGCCGGGGATTTCTCTGCTCCCGTGTGCCTCCCTGCTTGCTACTCCCCCTGCCCCGGCTCCGGCGCGGCCCCCCACGCTCCCCCCCTATACCTTGGACTCCGAATCGGATGTTTTGCTATGCCTCTCCTCCAGGCTGGACTCGCTGCCGCCCCTTGTGCCTCCGTTGCAGTCGGACCAGGTCCCTGCCAGGCTGCGCTCGGGGGAGCCCACGGTGCTGATGAAGCCCCCGGGCAGCGGGGCCAGCTCCCCACCGCTGGCGTGCAGCCGCCGGTCGGCTTTCCTGGGGCAGCAGAGCAGCCTCTTGAAGGCCTTACGGAAGTCGGGGCTCCTGCAGTAGATGATGGGGTTGAAAGCAGAGTTGGCGTAGCCCAACCAGTTGAAGAAAACGAAGAGCCAGTCCGGCACCAGGTCTCTGTTGAAGACGTTGACGATATTCACCAGGAAGAAAGGGAGCCAGCAAAGGGTGAACACTCCCATGATGATGCCCAAAGTCTTGAGGGCTTTTTGCTCCTTCATGGCCATGATGCGGGAGGTCTTTCGCTTGCTGGCTCGGCCGTTGCCGAGGATGGGCTGGTGGTGAGGAGGTGGGGGGGGCTGTGGCTGCTCCTGGCTGCCATAGAACCGGCCCTCGCACCTATCGATCTTCCTAATCTGCTCCTTGGCCTCTCTGTACACTCGGAGATACACAAAGATCATGATGAGAAGAGGGATGTAGAAAGAAATGATGGACGAGGCGATGGCATAAGCCCTGTTGGTGACGAAGTCGCAGCAGCCCGGGTCCTGGTAGCACTCCAGTGCCTGGGGGTCCTCATCCCGCCACCAGTGCATCATGATGGGCAAGAAGGAGACCAGGGCGGAGATGGCCCAGACGGTGCAGATGATGCCCTTGGCCCGAGCCTTGGTCATGAGGCTCTGGTAGCGGAAAGGCGAGGTGATGGCCAGGTAGCGGTCGATGGCGATGACGCACAAGGTCTCGATGCTGGCTGTCACGCAGAGCACATCCAACGAGGTCCAGCATTCGCAGAGGAAAGATCCCCAGAGCCAGGTGCCCCTCACCACCAGCGTGGCCCCGAAGGGCACCACCAGCAGCCCCATCACCAGGTCGGCGCAGGCCAGCGAGGTGATGAAGAGGTTGGTGAGGGTCTGCAGCCGCTGCGTTCTCCCGATGGCCGCGATCACCAGCACATTCCCGGCCACGATGAGCAGCACCACCAGGGCCATCAGCAGGCTCATCCCCACCGCCCATTGCTGCGACAGCAGCTCGGCGGCGGGCAGCTGCCTACTCCCGGGGGGCACCACCGACCGGTTCTGGGGGCCGCAGTCGGGCGGCAGCCCCCCATCGCCCATGGCTCTGCGGGGCCGCGCCGCGGGCAGGAAGGCGGCCCCGCAACTGGTGCCGGTGCCGGTGGTACCGGTACCTCCGCTGCCACCGCCCCGCGCTGCCGCATGGCCCCGCGCCCCGCCCCGTAGTACGTCACCTCCCGCAGCCAATCAGCGCCGAGGGGGCGGAGCCAGGCGGCCCCTCCCCTCCCTGCTTTTGCCGCGCCAGTGCCTGTGCCGCTCCCGGTGTCCCTAAGAGTATCGCTATCCGTATCCCTATCCCTGCTATGGCAGCGCCCTGTCTGCACCCCACTACACATCTATTGCGTAGGGACAACCATCCCCCTGGCCACCCGCCCTGCCGAAGCTGGTGAAGGGTCTGGATCACCTGTGGTGAGGATAACGGCTGAGGGAACGGGGGATGATCAGTTTGGAGGAGGCTCAGGGGGAACATTATTGCTCTCTACAACTACCTGAAAACAGGGTGTAGTGAAGTGGGGATACCCAGGTAACAAGTGACAAGAGGAAACGGCCTCAAGCTGTTCCAGGAGAGGTTTAGATTGGGTATTAGGAACAATTTCTTCACAGGGAGGGTGCTCTGGCATTGGAACAGGCTGCCCAGGGCAGTGGTGGAATCACTATCCCTGGAAGCGTTCACAGACCGTGTAGATGAGGCTTTTAGTGACATGGTTTAGTGGTGGCCTTGGCAGTCCTGGGGTAGAGGTTGGTCTTGATGATCTTAAAGGTTTTTTCCAACCTAGGTGATTTGATGGTTCTGTGACTTCTCAAAATGTAGCCAGCAGCTTTTACCCAGTCTGGTCAAACCATACTAAATCTAAGGACTGCTCTAAATGTTAATACAGTTATTTGGTAATGAGCAATAAAGTACATGAAGCATCCCAGTGCTGCAATGCCTAGCTAACAGCCTCTGAGCAAATCCCTTCCCGCCTCCCATCTATTGCAGTGAAACCTGCTGCTAGGAGCTAGTTGGGCTGGATTTTCATTTACTTGTTCAGCCCTCTATTTGTCTTCGGAGCTGGAAGATTACCCTTGGGTGCATTTAACTGTGTTTTACTCCTCTTCTAAACCTCTTAAAATAATGTGAAGCAGCTGCTGGGTAAATGAGAGCGATGTCCCCTCTCTCCTTTTTCCTAATCATCAGCATGTCTTACAGCAGCACCAAACATTCCCCACAGCAGTCTGGGAGCAACTGGAAGGAACAGTTATTCCCACCCCCCACCCCTCTCATATATTTACTCTGCTGAGGCTGTTCCACTGTTCCAGCTGGACCATATAAACCCCTTCCAGGCTCAGGCTTGATTTACAAGGTCACAACCTGGGAGCAGATTATTTATTTATTTGCACGCTGTTTGTTTAACCCTGACTACAAAGGCCACACACCAGCTTGGACCTGCTGCTTGGCAAAGCATTCCCTCATGTTCCCATGGACCTTGCTTTGCTGCTTGTCATCTCCTGGACTAAAGTGTGACCCTCTTTGGTGGGAAGGGCAGGAGGCACCTTCAAGAATAGAGGGAGACCTTATGCTGAATGAGAAGCAGAAGGATTGTGGCTGGGAATATTTGGCCAGGACTGGTAGCCGTAATCCTGATGTAAAAAACTAATAGTTTGAAACCAGGTTAGGACAATGGAGCTGTGGCATAGAAACAACCTTAATTGTAGTATAAGTAGGTACGAGCCTGTGGTGCATCACCACACTGAAGTCTTACAGCTGAGGTGCTTTGATGAATTCTGTGCCTAGTCCATTTTAGTGCAACATCAGCCTGTCAAAATCTGATAAAGTCTTCCCAAGAAGACACCAACAGTGGGAAGCACTGTTGGGAGTACCATGTAGCTGCTTTGCCTGCTATTCCTGGAGCATCATCCCCCTGTCATCTGTTCAGATCCATTATTGCTGTAGTATCTTTATACAGTTAATAAATATCATCATCTAATAAAATACCAGTTCTTTGACTATCAAGCTGTCCTGTCAGATCTCCAGCTGGAGATCCTCATACCACCATAAGAGAAGATAAGCTGAAAAGTTGGAGAAATAAAGGAAATTGCCAGCAAGTATGCAATAAACCAGAAGATACACAATCATGTGTTGCTTCCCTGTATCTTTGCTGGTTCAACAAGCATCAATCTGGAATGCCAGATCGGAGCTGGAGCCAGAATGTCTTTGGGAAATGATGCATCTTCAAAGGAAAAAATAAGCAATTTTATGTTTTCTGTACAGATCATCCCTCTGGCTCTTGCAGCACAGAGCAGCCAAATAATCACTGTAGCTTAACCCCTTCCACAGTGTTACCTTTTGCAAATCTCCTTTAACTCAGTATTTCCTTGTTGTTGTAATTTACATTTCAGAGAGCTCCTTATCATGATCTGAATATAGCTCTTTGCTTGCATATTATTTATAGATGTCAGCTGAAGAGAAGAAATTCCAGAACTGAAATGGATTGTTTCCACTTGCACTCCAGATCACAGTTTTTAATGAGCAACTAGTTTATTTGTCCTTTGGAAGTCATTTAAAAGAAAAAACCCAAACCCTTTCACTCAGTAGTTATTAGGACAGATCAGTCTTCTGTTGCATACAGGATAATGGATAGATGTGATGAAAATCAAAATGTATTGCATTTGAGGAACCCCGTTGCCACGAGCTGTGAAGCTTCAACATTTCAGGAACTGAAGTGGGTTATCTGGGTATATTTTTAAACCCAGTCCTTTGAGATGCTTTGCACAGCTTCCTGCTTGTCTCGCCACACAAAACAGATTGCAGGATGACAGTCCTATTGCATGGGTATGCATCTTCACACAGCACTACCCTGGGGAAGGCCATCAGCACCAGCGGTGGAGCAGGAGACTGGGAATGGTGCAGGGCACTGGGGGGTGCTCTGAGCTCCTTGTACCATGTCTTGGCACTGTGTGAAGTTGGTTGGAGAGGGAGGATGCTGACAGAGTGGTGATGGGTGTTTAGAGAAGGATGGTGGGGTTAGCAGATGAGGAGGGGGAAAGGCAATTTTAACTAGTAGAAAACATTATCTCTTAATGCAGTTGGAGGAAGAATAAAATGTCAGGGAGGGAGATGAATAATTTACATGAATACAAAGAGATTTAATGAGTGGTAATGTGATGAAAGGGAAAATTTGATATGAATATCTGAAAGAGCTTTTAGGATGTCAAGCCCATTACTTTGCCAGGAGTAGCAGCAGATGCCTCATCACTCAGGCCTTTACAGTTAGGTTTGACAAAACCCAAACTTCCAGCTTTGGATCAGACTGCATCATGTCTAAGACCTGGACATTTCCAGCTCTTACTTTTAGCTTTAACATGTTTTTTTACCATATCTCAACAACTTGGGTCTTGGCTCATAACCTTCAGTTTTCTTCTCACAAAGAAAAACAAATTGTCATCTTTGCTACTGGATTTAAGGAAGCTTTACTGGAGAAATACAGTGCAGGAAGAGTTTCTCTGTGGCTGTGAGGCTGATGTGGACAAAGCAGGCATCTCCAATGGGCCAGATGCAAGGGGTGGCTGTGCTTCAACTTGTGACCCAGAAGGATCTTGTCTGCCTTGTCCAGCCTTGTCCAGTCATGCTCTCATTGCAATCAAATTTGGTCACTGCCATTATTAACATAATATCATCTTAAAATATTAACTGTTTGTCCTCTTAAGGCATTAGTCAAAGCCCACTGAAGTGCCTGGAAGGCTTCCCATTGACTTCAGTGAGCCTCATGTTACTACCATTCTTTCTCTGGAGAAAAAGGGCTACATAAAAGCACATTAGAAATGCATTTGCTGTCCCTTTTTCTTCCTGCTGGCTTCCCAAACTTCTCTACATACATAGCAAAATTTAGCATACATAAATGCAGCATACATTTGAGAAACCATTTTGTGCTTGTTAGCTGGACAATTTGACTAAAACCTGACCTGAAGCAAAGCAGATGAGAGACCATCCTGCAAAGTCTTTGTGTGAAGTGTTCAGGCTTCATCCTCTCCATGCGGTCCTAGGAAGAGGCTGTAACTTGGCTCTATCCACATTGGACATTTGTTATTAGGGAAATAGAGACATGATGGAACATTGCCACAAGATCCATGTCTCTTGTTTTTAAAATAAACATCTTGGCTTTCACTTGACGTTTATTTTCCATAAATGCCTCGGCTTCAATTTGGCATTTCAGCAGCAGCGGGAGGCTGTTATCCTGTGACAACATGCAATTCCATTGACATTATCTCTCTATTACATGTGACAGTGCACTAAATGCTCTATGTAGTTGCTTTTAGTTAAACAATGCTACAAAACCAGAAATCCAATGTATTAATAGCAGAAGTGACCATACTTTTCAGCCCAGTACTGTGCGTGTGACACCATAATTATACGACGTACACTGTATAGTAGTGTATGCTACAGCAAGTAAGCACACTCTAAGTTTGATTTAGGGGGTCCAAAGTAGTGAATGCCTATTAATTCCTGTGGACCTGAGGGCTCTGGTTGATATATTGGTTAGCATGTACAGGACCAAGCATATCAGCAGTTTTAAAAGCTCTAAACCAACCTGATCACGCACAAGTAAGTCCTGATGCTCTGGAAGACCCTGCAACAGTAAGCCAGCCCTTGCTTACTGATTTATTGGCTTATTTAATGGCTTCATGGCTCACAACTATTGAATGCTTGTAAAAGGGTCTCCAGATGAAAAAAATCCTCTAAATAAGGGCTGGGTTACTGTGGCAGGGTCTTCCAGAGCATCAGGACTTCAGGTGATAAAAGAGATGCAACAACTATCTCTCCTTCTCGCTCTCTGTCACACACCGAGTAAAAAGATGCTGCGGAACAAGGGTTTCTTGTCCCTTGAAATCTGTGTTGTGTTGTTGCTAAAATGTCAAAACTCAAGAAAAGGCTGAGTTTGACAGGGGAGTTCAACTCCATTCAATCCTCCCAGAATGGACAGAGCGCTCCTTTATCCTAGTACTCTTTAGAAATGCCCAGATTTTAAAGATCCTCTGATTTCCACTGTAGGATTGAGGCCAGGTCTCTTTTATTCCTGTATCCCATGAGAATTGTGATGGTTTTTATAATCGCACTCACAATTTTAAAGTTTAGGGCCCTGGACAGATGTCTTATTAGGGGAGTGAAGGAAGG